ATTACAGCTGCTGCCAATCCTGCCTTTGAATGTGGGAGGCTGCCAGGTCAGAGGCAAAATCCAGTGGAGTCGCTTCTGGACCTCAACACCTTGGAGCTGCCGCTTCAGCCCTGGGAGGGGCCACGTGGAGCCTGGCTGGGGCACTGCAGGTGCGCTCCATGTGCTGCTGCTCACTCTCCTGCCGCCCCTTTGCACCCCGCTGGGGGAGTGGCAGTGCCAGTGCATGGAGCTGCTAGCTCTGACACTCTCTGCTGAGAGTTGGGTCTGGTGAGGAAGCTCAAGGCTTTCTTCACACCTCTCTTGCCCCCCGCCCCCTCCAATACCCTCTGAGCAGGAAGCCAGAGCTGGTGTTGCAGCATCCTGGCTGAGCAGGCTTCCTGCTGTGTGTGTGTGTGGGGGCGGGGACACAAATGAACTCCATCCCCCTCTCCACCCTGCTGGGGGAATGGCAGTGCAGTGATGTGTGAGGCTTTCCCAACTGCAAGGCTGTGGGAAGCCAAGTAAGCGTCTCCCCTCATGTGCAGACACCCACACCCCAGTCTCCCTCACTTACTCCCCTTCCCCTGCCAGGATCCTGCACCACCCAGCTTGCGCCAACACCCTCCCTTGCTCCTGCACCCTCCCTCCTAGTCAGGCACTCCCTCCTGGTCAGACATCCTACCCCCATCCTACTCCTACACCTTCCCTCCTGGCCACACACTGTATCGTAGTTTCCTCATACTCCCTCCATCTAGCCAGACAACCTACTCCCAGCTTGCTTCTGCACCCTATCTCCCATCCAGACCTCACAATTTATCCCCCTTCTGCACCCCATCTCCTTCCCAGCTCCTGCACCTGTTCCCTACATCACTCACTAGCAGCCCTGTCTCACACACTAGACCTCTCATTTTTGTCCTTATCCCAGACTTAAGGGGATCCATAAAATCCACTAATTCTGGAACCCCAGAAAAGTAAATTTGGCCTCTGAGAAACCCTGAACCTCAGTCCTCCCTGGCCCTTCCCTTCACCCTGTGAGGCTGGAGCGCCAGAGGAGTGAGGTGTCTCAGTTGGGGGCCACATCAGTGAAAGTTGGGGATTTTTGGAGAAGAATTTTTTATTTCTCACTTGTGTGGTCCCTAACTGATTTTTTTTCTGTGGATCAGTGGCCCTTGACCCGAAAAAAGCTTTTTCCTCATAGAAAGAGGTTTACCAATGTCAGAACAACCCCTCTGTTCTTTCAATTTTCTTTCGAAAGAACGCGATTGCAGTGTGGATGTAAGTGAAGTTTTTTCGGAAAAATGGCAATCACTGGCGATATGTAAGAGTAGGTTAGACAGACATGTATCAGGGATGATATAGACCGTGCTTGGTCCTGCCATGAGGTCAGGGGACTGGACTTGATCTGTTGAGGTCCCTTACAGTTCTAATATTCTATGATTTTGTTTGTAAATCTCTCCACACCCTTCTTAAAACATTTTTGGAGAATGTAGTGTGTCTTCTCTGTTCGGGGCAGAGATAGTCCCATAACCACTGGGGATCCTACCAGAATCAATATTTTTTTAAAGAGATCTAGACCAGTGTTTCCCAAATGGTGTTCCATGGAACCCTGTGGTTCTATGTGAAAATAAGGGTTCCTCAAGAAAATTGCACTACAATAACATTTTATGATTTAACATTTTTTTTGTACACACTAAATGTGACTTTTTGTTTTTAAATATGTGCAGTTAAACTAAATGTTGATCTCATGACCTTGTTTAGCATTTGTTTATTATTTTATCCTTACTTATTTGTGGCCTACTTTTTCAACTCCATATATAAGACTGCTATTAGGGGTTCGGCAAAATTTTTTCGAGTTTAAAAGGGTTCCGTGGCCAAATAAAATTGGGAAACACTGATCTAGACTAAGTGTGAAAAATCTGAGCTCAGCTGGAAACATTTGGGGAGTAACTAGAAGTTGGATCAGTTGAAGTAAAATGTCACTGAAAACAAGACTTCTATTAGAAGTAACTCAGAAGGAATTCTCCTTAGTGTCAGTCATAATGCTGTAATTCTGTACAGTCATCTCTGGTCCTCTTTGATTTTGTTTAGGTTGGGGCATACATCAAGGAGGAGCTGGTGGATGTAGAACATCTATTTATATGATAGTGACCCAGTCATTACTCTTGTATGGGTTTTGTGTGGATTTTCAGGCATTATACCGTATCTCAGAATGGCCATACTGGGTCAGTCCATTGATCCATTTAGCCCAGTGCCCTTTCTTCTGGCAGTAGCCAATACCAGATGCTTCAGTGGGAATGAACAGAACAGGTAATCATCAAGTGATCCATCCTGTCTCCCATTCTCAGCTTCTTACTTTCACAGCATCCTCTGGTAAAGAGTTCCACAGATTGTGTGAAATATTTCTTTTTGTTGTTTTAAACCTTCTGACTATTAATTTATTTTGGTGACCTGTAGCTCTTATTATGATAGAGTAAATAACACTATTGAATCACCTTTAGTCATCTCTCTTCTGAGCTGAAATGTCCCATTCTTATCAATCTCTACTGCCAGGGAGACTTTTCCATATCCCTAATCCTTTTTATTGTTCTTCTCTGTACCTTTTTGAGATGGGACAAAAAGATCTGCATGCAGTGTTCAAGATGTGGGTATCAAGTATCAGAGGGGTAGCCGTGTTAGTCTGAATCTGCAAAAGCGACGAGAAGTCCTGTGGCACCTTATAGACTAACTGAAGTGTAGGAGCATAAGCTTTCGTGGGCAAAGACCCACTTCGTCAGATGCATGCATCTGACGAAGTGGGTCTTTGCCCACGAAAGCTTATGCTCCTACACTTCAGTTAGTCTATAAGGTGCCATAGGACTCCTCATCGCTTTTGCAAGATGTGGGTGTACCATGGATTTATATAGAGGCAATATGATATTTATTGTCTTATTATCTATCCTGTTCTCAATGATTCCCAACATTTGGCTTGTTTTTGTGGCTGCTGCTGCACATTGAGTAAATGTTTTCAGAGAACTATCCACCACGACTCAAAGATCTTTTTCTTGAGTGTTAAGAGCTGATTTAGACCCCATCATTTTATATGTATTCTGTTATGTTTTCAAATGTGCATTACTTTGCATTTATTAACATCAAATTTTAATTGCCATTTTGTTGTCCACTCAGTTTTATGAGAGCCTTTGTAAGTCTTCACAGTCACTCTTCACTCAATTATCTGGCATAGTTTTGTATCCTCTATAAATTTTTCCACTTCACTGTTTACTCTCTTTTCCAGATCACTTATGAACAGGGCTCGACAAATCATGTAATCTACTCGCCTGTGGCGAATAGATTACAAGCTGGCACAGCCGGCGCAGCATGATATGCGCATGCACAGCACGATCTGCACATGCGCAGCTCGCAGAACCGCAGGACTCACCGCCACTTGGTGAGCCCTGCTTATGAATACGTTGAACAATACTTGTCCCAGTACAGATCCCTGGTGGGAACAATATAGCTATTTACCGCTCTCCATTCTGAAAATTAGCCATTTATTTCTACCCTCTGTTTCCTATCTTTTAATCCAAGGATCACCAGTCTTTCCAAAGTGGCATGCCAAGATGTAACCCTCATGCCCTGGGCCGTGCTGCTCTCCTGGTGGGGGAGGAGGAGCTCTCCACCATGCACTCTGCTTGGTCTCCTGCCCTGGACTTCGTTCCAGTTTTTCCTGTTGGGAGGGGAGGAGCAGCGCATGTGCGTGCTTCCATGGAAGCTGGATATGGTGTGGAGGCTCAGGGTTCCCCCCCCCCCGGGTTCTCCCCCCCCGTGCAGGAAACTGGCCCTGGCTCCAGCATCATGCCCTCTGCAAGAATGGATTGCCAACACAAGCTGGGTTCAGGGTGGCTCAGGGGGTTGAGAGGTTCAGGGAAATGGGTGAGGCAGGGTTGGGTTGGTGACCCGATTGTCCAGCTGTGCTGGGGTTCGGGTCCCGTGGGGGTCTAGTCCATGGTGTCCTCATCTTCCTGCCAGGCACCCAGGGGCCATTCTGGCTTTGAGGTAAGGGATCCCCCCCCCGCGTGTTTTCCTCTCCCCTCAGCTGCCCTCACCACCGCCAAGCCCCGCCACTGCCCAGCCCACTCTAGCGCAGTGGTTCTCACATTTTTTGGTCCCTGGATCACTTGGCTCAATTCAAACCTTTCCATGGACCACCAGTTGCTAATGAAAACTCTGTTAATTAAACCTGAGCCGTTTTGCTAGTGCTGCAGTTATGGAGAATGGATTAATTTAAATGATTAAACAGACTAAGCATTTTAAGTTTTTCATGTTAGTTTATCATTTTACTTTATTGAAAATGAAGATTATTAATTTATGTCCAACACAAAAAGTTTTAATGTTTTCTTTCTTTATGCAGGGGTGGGGAACTATCAGTTGGGGACCTTACAAGTGAGAAGCAAAAAAACTACTCCAAAAACCCCCAACCCTCTGAGCCTACCACATCACACCCCAGTTCCCCCATTACCTCCTCACCCTGGCCCCTGCTTCCTCTGCCCCTGCCCCCACTCATCCACCCCTCCCATGGGGAGTGTCTAGGTTTTGTGTGGGGTCCTTGTGCCGCCTAGTGGAAATAGATAGAGCCGTGGGAGCTCTTGGGCACCAGGCGCGGACTCCCCCACTCCTCTCTTAGCTCCCCCGCATGCTAGCGAGGCTGGGGAGGGCAGAGCTGCAGCGGCAAACCTGTAGGAGCAGCTTCAATCCTGGGAGGGGGGAGGCTGTCTCAGCTCTGCATGGGGTCCCTGTGCTGCCTGATGGAGGTGGGTGGGGAGCCAGGATGGCTCTTGGGGACACCAGGGGCGGAATCAAGTCGAGGCTTTCTTCATCTCCCCCGTGCGCCCGGAAGCTGGAGCTTGTGCTCCAAGTCTTGCAGCTATGTGGTCTCGGGAGGGGGGCGGGGGGTGAGTTCCCGCTGCAGACTCCATGTGCCACTGAAAACTGACTTGTGTGCCACAAGTTGCCAACCCCTGTTTTAGTCTGTTCCTTTTCCATGAGAGGACTTTACCTCTTATCCCATGACAGCTTACTTTGCTTTAGATTCTTTGATGAAGAACTTTATCGAAGACCTTCTGAAAAATCTAAGTATGCTATATCCATTGGATCCCCCTTGTTCATCTGCTTGTTGATGCCCTCAAAGAATTCTAGTAGATTATTGAGGCATGACTTCCCTTTACAAAAGCCATGTCGACTCTTCCCCAACAAACTGTGTTCATCTATATGTCTGATAATTCTGTTCCTTATTGTAGTTTAAATCAATTTGCCTGGTACCGATGATTAGTTTCTGTAATGTCATGTGGTGAAAACTTCAAAATACCAATAAGAATCTATCTATAGATAATAGTCCTACCAGAGAATTCTATTTTGTTGTTAGTCAATTTTTGGAAAATAGTAAGTTATAGAAACTGCTAGAAACTTGTTGATTAATGACATTTTTCTGAGGGACATGCACAAATGAAATAGCAGATGAGCTTCATTATCGTAATTTTGCAGTCAATCTTGTGCATGTGCTGGCTCAAAAAATCCTTGGCAAAAATCTGATTAAATATATCCATTGGGATAAATGGAAAGCCAACTAATAAATTCATATCATTTGCTCCTTAACATGTTTTATGCACAAGAGAACATACTGCCTTCTGGATCTAAAAGGGGTTTTATTAAGAGCATGACTTCTTCCAAGTTCTGATATGTGGCAGAAAATTAAACAATGGTTCTTGAGATGGCACAAAACCAAACATTTTATAATACACTGTATGTATGTCTATTGAAGATTTATTTGAAATGATTCTCTGGATTTCCTGTCTTTTACTTTAGAAAACCTGTTGACAATTTTTTTTTTTAAATATCTAAAGATCCATTGTAAATATATAGCTTTTCCCATGGAAAGTCACCAAAAAGAAAAATACTTAAAATTGTATTTTGTGTCAAATCTACTTTTAAAATTTATCAGTTTTACTAATGAAGGAATAAATGTTTTTCTTTAAGAATAAAATTTTAGCATGTCAGCACTTATGAATAACTGCACAACAGGTGGTTTTTTTCTGAGGTGTAGTTAGAAAAATATTGCTTTGAGGAAAAGATTGAAATATTTAAGCTTCTGAGGTGGTATTAAACAGTGAATAAAAAGAGATACATTTTTAAAATGTTTAAAATGGTTCAAACAGGAGCGCGTTTGTCTGCCTCACTCCCCCGCCCCCCCCTTGTAATTTGACTAGTAGCCCCCAAACACATCTGAAAATGTATTAAAAGACTAATTTCAAACATTAATGTAAAAAGAAAAAGTTTGTGGATGGTGACTAAGTCTTAGGAAATATAAAGGGCTTTTTGTTTAAGTTTAAGCTATTAAAGTAGCTAACGTTTGTGTTTTACATACAGATGTCAGAGGTGGGTGGAGAACTGTCGAAGGGCAGATTTAGAAGATAAAACGCCAGATCAGTTGAACAAGCATTACAGATTATGTGCCAAGCACTTTGAGACCTCTATGATATGTAGAAGCGTAAGTAAAGGCAACTAAACATCTTTTTCACAGTGTGTAAAATGTAACTAAGTTTATTTTCCTGCTTAAAAACATAAACCTTAGGATTAAGATGGCTTTTTCTACTTTTTAATATTCATGTCTTATAAAAGATTTTTAAGATGAAGATGACAGTTTCTCTCCTAATTTTATGTACAGGCAGTCCCCGGGTTACGTACAAGATAGGGACTGTAGGTTTGTTCTTAAGTTGAATCTGTATGTAAGTCGGAACTGGCGTCCAGATTCAGCCACTGCTGAAACTGATCAGTTTCAACAGCGGCTGAATCTAGATGCCAGTTCTGACTTACATACAGATTCAACTTAAGACCCCCAGGCATCCCCAAGTCAGCTGCTGCTGAAACTAATCAGCGGCTGATTCCAGGAAGCCCGGGGCAGGGGCTTCCTGTAGTCAGC